TAGATAATAAAAAAATTCATATTCCAAATTTGAGCTTCCAGATGCCCATATTCGGGTGGAGGCGTACGTTATTCAAAATTGGATGGCTCTGCGTACAGCTGTTTTATCACAATGCGAGAAACATACATGCATCTATGCAAATTCGTCATTATTTAATTTCTTTAAATATAACACAGGGTTGTAATAATTAGTGGCAACAATTTAAAAGTGGATCAACGTTTATGGTTTTCAACGCAAAATGCCAAAACGAAACTAATAGCCGTTCTGGGGGTAACGCCTTTTGGACTAATAAACATATAAATTCCAAGATAAAAATGTATTCGTTCCCTTTTAAAAAAACGGCCGTCCTCCATTACCACCCCCTCTTTGCATATTCATATCGAAGGGATTTTATTTTTTACGCAAAAGTGTAAAAGCGGAAAATTTTCAGGTTTCTTTACTTCGACGATTTCGAAAAGATACATCCACCTTTATGCATGTCGGCAGCTATTCATATAGTATATCTTCGCATGAGAGATTTCCGGCATCTTGGTAAAGGTTGCATTCTTCATGGTGCATACAAAACCTAGGTGTAGATTGGGTACCTCTGTTCAATAATAATGCTGCGGCACAATCGTACCTTCACATCGTCCTTCACATGTTTATACATACGTGCATGCACACATGTATATGCATGCGTACGTGCATGCATATACATACATATATACTCTTATGAAATGTACGGGCGCGGTGAGATAGCTTCCCCGCAAAGAAGGTTTAGGGTTGCCATAAACAGCAAGAATAGGCAAAGTTGCCACATTTGGCGAGAAATCCCCTATTTGGCGACAAAATTGGCGATATACCATGTACGGATGGTGAACCTTCTGGAACGAATTCTTACCGGTTTAGCCCAGAATGTTCTCGAACACAAGCCGAAAGCTATATAAACCCTGCTGGCCCGCAGTGAGAGTGTGTGCCTCGTCTTACGAGCTGATAGTCAGTCATTGAGCGAGTGTCTCGAAGTCTGTTTTTTTGAATAATATTTAGCGGCAGAAACTGAAAAATGTGACTTTCTGGCCAATAGTTTTCTTGTTTCTCAATATGTGTCTCATGTTTCTTACCGGTAAATTTTAATACTTTCTTAATTCAACCAACCACGTTGAGAATGAACCCTGTATATACGCCAGAAATGTATATTTGGGATGAGGTTTTAAGTACGGATCTGATTTTTGTCAATAGACGAGAAAACCAGCAGAAAGTCTAATTACTATAAAATGCGCGCAGTTTTATAGAGAAACGATGGAAAGTGCAGCTTATACAGATCTTTTAAAGAATGATTTAGGAAAAAAAAAAAAATGTCGCTTTTTGTTTTCTTTTTAGCTCAAAGGGGCAGTTTACCCAGAAGGACTATTAACCCATTAATTGCCAATTTTTTTTTCTGAATTTAAATTTATTTCTAGGTGTCTAGATTGACATAGAGACTGGAAATTGGAATATAGATAGAATCTGTCATGAGCCCCAAATGGTAATCGTCATTCAAATAGCTCTCGCCGGAAAATAAAATTCACATTGACAATAAATAGTTAGCAGATATATTCCAAAACTATTAGAGAACACGGCAACACATAGGAGTTGGAAAAGATGCGTATAATAATATGACATTCCGCGTTTTCAAAATGTTCAAATCTTGGAAACTCACAAACATTTTACTTCTTCTCACAAATAATACTCTCCATCTCACTCATTTAACTACTTCTACTCAATAACTCGTGCTAAACCTTGAGAAAGGTTTAACAGCAATGCAAAAAAAGTAACCATTGTTGCCAACCTAATTAAGGTTACCAAATTTCCGCTACTTAGACAAATCCCGAAATGGGGATCATGGCAGTTAATGGGTTAATTTCGTTTTGGCATTTTACATTGATTCGGTATAAAAGGCGAATCTCTTTTCAGATTGTTGCCACCCAATATTACAGCCCTGTATTATATTTAAAGAAATTAAATCATAAAGAATCTGCATAAATGTGTGTATGTTTCTCGCGTTGTGATAAACAGCGGCATTTAGAGCCATCTAGGTTTGAATTTTGAATTTGTTTTATTATCTGTGTTATATTTTGTAAAGCATTTATAATTTTTTTATTAAGGAACTCAACATTCAAGTGACCATGGAGGGCCATCCAATTTTGAATACGTAATCCTTCTACGAATATGGGATCTGGAAGCCAATTTGAAGTTTGCAATTTGTTTTATTATCGACTTTATATTTTTACCCTTTAACTAACTTTGATTACAACTGAAGATTTCAAGGCGAGCATGCAACGCGGTCGAACACACAACAAACAACAAACAAAAAAAAAAAAAAAAAAAAATTTATCTGCATCACGCGAGACGTGTATCGAGAATTTTAAAGATAGGCTTCTTTTAAAATTATTTTGCTGTATTGCCGTTGAACTGAATTTTAAGGTTTAAGTGCGAAGAACATGATATTTAATAAATAAGGGTAACAAACAGAACGTTACAAATACGCCTCTTTGAGCGTATTGTAAAATATGAAAGCTTCAGTTTTTTTTTTTAAATTTTAAATATTACGTAGCGATAATATTTGGTGGCTACAATCTGAAAAAAGGATTCTTACACGAAGGTCATGTAGACAAAAAGTGAGTTTCGAGACGAATAACAACTCTGTTGCAAAAAAGGAATTACATTTAATCACATGGGACAAGTGGAGAAAAAAAGGCTAGAAACAAAGATGATGAGAGCCTACCACTTTGGGGCATTTAGGCCTTACAAGGACTGTCCCAAAATAAGTGTTCTGACAGTAGCTTCGCCTGAAATAATTAAAGGTCGGGAATTCCCTTTATTAAGGCGATGGAAATTTTATTTTTGGCGTGGCGTGTATTATTTTAGATCCTGCATCGAATGTCAAGGCAAGAACAAAATATCCCGAGGACGTTCCAATCTGTGGAGGCACATTGAAGAATTAAGAGGTTAGAACATCAATTTATTAATAATTAAATTCTATACACAACTTCAAGCCCCACCTTGGAATGGATCCTTAACTCCAAACAAGTGAAGCGTATACATAAATAAAAATTAAATTGGGTTACTTCCAATTATCAACTAGAAAAGAAAAAGGGTTAAAAATTCTCAAAGGTTTCAGATTTTAAATTACGTACAAAGGGGCGTTTTTTTTTAACATTTCGCGTGTTACATAAATTTATTAAATTCAGTTCAACAGCAATGTCGCAAAATAATTTTAAAATGAGCCTATCTTTAAAATTCTCGAGACACAGTTTCACGCCTTGGGATAAAAATTTTTTTTTTTCTGTACATACGTTGCCATTGCCGCTTTGAATCCTGGTTTGTTAATCAAAATGCGTTAACTTTTTATAAAATGAAATCGATCATAAACCATTCCAAATTTCAAATTTGGGTTTTCAGATCCCGAGTCGCAGCAGGATTACGGGATTAAAATTGGAATGGCTCTAGGTACCGTTTTTGTCACAATCGAAACTATAATACTTGATGCGATTTTTCATTGTTTAATTTCTTCAAATATAATGCAGGACTCTAATATTTGGTGGCAACAGTGCAAAAAGTGAAACGGACATTTCTAGCGAACCAACGCAAAATCACAAAACGAAAACAATAGTCCTTCAGAGACTAAAAGAAAATTAAAAAAACCTAAATCAGAGATATTAATTAAAACTCGGAAAAACGATCATTTTCGCCCTCATTTTTCCGAGTGGCAACAGACTCCCACGCTGGGGATAAAAATCTCCTTCATTTTGAGCAGTGTTGCCATTGCTCGCTTTCAAATCGTACAGTTTGTTAATAAAAAATTTCTAAGATTTACTATGAAATAAAAAAAAAAGCGTTGCTAAAGATTAAATACATTATTCCCGATTCCAAAAATTCATGGGAAGCCATTTCGACTTTTCCCATTTTCGTACGACTATAATCAGCCGAAATATTAATTAAAAACTCTGAAAACACTCACTTTCGTGCTCATTTTTTCGAGTGGGAACAGTCTCGAGCGGTGGAGATAAAAATGTTTCATTTCAAAAAGTGTTGCTACTGCTCGCTTTCAAATCGTAGAGTTTGTTGACCAAAAATTTGCAAGTTTTACAAAATTTACAGTGGTTCCCAAATGTGTTCGTACACTTATGATTTTCATTGAAATAGGGCTCTATCCATGAATTAAAAGTAAACTTTCTGAATGAGATTTTAATAATTGATATATAGCTATTCGTAACAAAATTACAGAGATATTTTGAAAATATCGCGAACTTATTTTTAAGAAATTAATATCAAAAGTTATAACATTTTAATCTCACAAAAGTCTCGACACTGAAATGTTTTTTGGATAAAATAAATTAGAATTATCGTTGCCGCATTGTTAATTTTTGCATGTAGTGGCATTTAAAAAAGCGTTTCTATAATTTTTTTATGTTTTATTTATATACTTTTTATTATTGAAAACTGGGTCGACTCTAAAAAATAAAACACATCGAAATTGATATTTTTCACCATAGTACGGTAAATCATTCGAAATACGCTAATGTTGTATTTAATCTCCTTCTACAGTGCATGGTGAAAAACGCTTTAAAAAGAAAATCGGATTGAAACAAGGTAAGAAAAGGGCGACCGAGAATACTAAACGTGAAGAAGATTATTATAGAAATTGTGAAAAACCCACGTTTAGGCGTAAAAGTTCTGCAGATTTAATGCAAAGTTTTCCCTTCATTTTCCTCTTAACTGTCGACGAGTTCTCAGAGAAACTTATAGATAGATCTTATTATTCTTATAGATCTTATTATTAAAATCTCATTCACAAAGTTTACTTTTAATTAATGGATAGAGTCGCATTTCAATGAAAATCATTAAGTGTACGAACACTTTTGGGAGTCACTGTATACATATAAAGAAGAATGTCTGTTTGCGTGTATGTTTGCTTGTCTGAAATAAAAATAACTGAGACTTTTTTTTTAAATCATTTATTTTTTATTTATTTCTTGCAGGAACTGTCCACTTGACCGACCTGCATCTCAAGGCGGAAGCTCTGGTAAGTGATGTTTGCTTATTTCTAACAATTTTTAAAATGTCCCGTTGTGTTTTTTTTTTGTTTGTTTTGTTCACATAAATTAATGAGTTTCATTTAAATTAAAGTGCCGGGAAAGTGAGCATTTATCTGTTTCTAATCACGGTTACATAGTAGACACTGCGTAAAGGGACTCATACACCTTAAAACCCATAAGATCTTGAAATATGTGACTTGGAAAAATTGTGATAACTTATTTATTTTAAAAGCAATTACTTCCAACCTTTTACAGCTGACTACATAATATAGCTGCTTTTTGAAATAGTAATCAGAAAGTTTTGTGTTGCCACAAATATTTTTATAAGTTAATTCTCTTTGTGACAAAATTTTTCGTCATGTTTCCACCTTGCGCGCACAGTTTAAAACATTCTGTTGCGTAATTTAATACCATATTTAATAGATAGCTTTTATAACATTTGGAAACGACTGTGAACCAAAAATTCGAAGAATTTCATGTTAGATTTTTATTTTATTTGGAGTTGGGTTTATAAACTGTAATTTATTAAAAAAGTCTGTCATGTTTTCGTCCATAAAATTTTTTAATACTAAAATATTCATCAGATTTTAGGTTCAGTTAGAAAATACTACCCATATAAAAAATTCCATCTAATTTCAAGTACCATTAGCGATTTTTAAAATATCATGCGCGCAATGCGGAAACATGACGAAAAATTTTGTCACAAAGTAAATTACAAAAATATTTGCGGCAACACAAACTTTCTGGTTACTAGTTTCCAAAGCAGCTATATTGCTCAACGCAAAAAGTTGGAAGTAATTTTTGAAATAATATCTTCCAATTCTTGCAACAGTGACATACGTGTCTCACAAAAGTGATGGGACACTTTGCTTTAAAAAGGAAACTGTATAACATAATTAAAAAAACATGTAAAACTTTTTTGTGTGTGTGTTTCATACTTAAATTTAGTAAATTATTACATACATACATTTTCTCAAAATATTAAGTATTATTTAATAAATATAATTGTTTAAACGGAGCAAAAAATGGCTCCCATAAGTGATGGGACACTTACTTTCCATTAAATATTTATCCAAAAATTTTACTTTTTAAAGGTTTTTATATTTTTGTTGGATCTCCTTTACTTTTAACATGATTTAATTTCTTGGGATGGATTCGGATAATATTTTGTGATTTCTGGAGTGATTTCCCCCCATTCTTCTTGAAGCATCGATCGATTTTAATTGTTTTGAAGAAATGGTGTGTTTTGCGAATTCTTGATTCCATTCTTTCCAAATATTCTCTATGGGATTCAAGTCTGAGATTGTGGTGGTGTTTTTATTATTTCAGGACATTATACGCAGCCCAAGTCCTAACGTTCAAAGCTGGTGCTTGAGGTCATTTTCCTGTAGAATTTAAAATCGTTATGAGGTTAATTTTCGTGCTGGAAAATTTTGATTTAAATGTCAATACTTGTACTGATCCTTACCTGTCATAAAACAAGATGACCAACTCCAGCGACGACAGTACACCCCATACCATAACTCCTCCTCCACCATGTTTTACTGTTTGGCACCAAGTTCTGTTGCGAAATTCTTCCCTGGGTTTTCCCACCCAAGATTCGCCATCGAACCAATATATTAAATTTACTCTCAATCAGCAAATATACTTCATTCCAGTAATCAGAATTCCTATTTATGTTGGATTTTGCGAAAGCCAGTCTGAGTTGTCTATTCTTTTCACTCAAGAAGAATTTTTTCCTGGCTGCTCTACCGTGATATCCAGCATATCTAATTACTCTTATAATAGTCTCAGGATTAACAATTACTCCATATAATGCTTGTAAATCAGACAGCAACTATAGGAGCACTCATTCTTGGAGTTTTTTTTTAATATTTCCAACGATAATTCGCTTTATTCCTTTGGATAGCTTTGATGGTCGGCGAGGTCTTCTGTTATCCTGAATCATATGATTCTTTTTATATCGTTTATGATATCGAAAACTTTGAGACTCAAGTTAACTGTTTCAGCAGTTTCTCTAATAGATTTTCCCCCGTTCAATGCAATTAATAACTATTTTCGAATTTCAGGCAAGTTTCTTTTCGTTTAGCATTCATGGCTGCACAGAGCTAAAAACACAAAATTCCAACGAACTGGAGAGAAATACTGCATACGATTTTATAAACTTGCCTTGTTTTGTCAAATGAAAACCCCCCAATATTTTTTATTGCTTACTTCGGACGATTTTTGTTGGCAAGTACATAGTTGTTCCATCACTTATGGAGCCATTTTTTGCTCCGTTCAACAATTGTATTTTTATTAAATTAATATTTTAATATTTTGAGAAATGTATGTTATGTAAATGTTACTAAGTTTAACTGAACACACCCACAAAAAATTTTTACATGTTTTTCTAATTTATTTTATTACAGGTTTCTTTTGTAAAGCATAAGTGTCCCATCACTTTTGTGAGACACTGTATTTGAAGATCATAAGGGGTTTAAGGTGTATGAGCCCCTTAAGGTGATCGGATATTGTTATTGATTAGCGAAATGATCGCCCATTTGTATACGAAAAAAATAGAAAATACACCCTTTATTTGCGACCATGAATAACCTTCATATGCTCGAATGTTATAGAGGCCGCACAACCGGTATAATGGTTAGCGTCGCTGACTGCCGTGCTGAAAGGCGCGGGTTCGAATCTCGGAGAAGGCATGGATGTTTGTTATAAGTTCGTCAGGATGGTTAGTGTGTGTTTATCTTTCATTCTGCAGGATGTCTCTAGCGTTTTATAAATTCTTTTATTACTACACTAAATATTTACATATAATTCAAGAATATCCGTCACCTCATTCACACTCTCTAGACTGCCCTATTCTCCACTACAGTCGGGCGCCCTCTGTCGACTCATTACATGTTTGTGCAGTGTCTCTGCGGCATGGTGGCACTCTAAATATGCGGCGAGCCGAAAGTCCTCTCGCGTGGTTTCGCCTCGACCCCCTGGGTGCTCTTCATCAAAACAAAAAAGCGAGGTTTTGTTTAGTTTGGGGCAGACTTTTATGAACTCTGTTGATTTTCAGAACGATCAGACATAGGTTTCTCTTCTTCAGAGACAAGATGATGGCAGAAGACATCTATTATTATTTGTTGTTACTTACGTATTCCGCCCAAAGGAACTATACGGCGCAGGGATGCTTTCGTGGAGGACGTTTTAAGAGAAACTTGCTTGTAGTGAGAAGTTACACATGGAGAAAACCCGGAAAACGCCCATGCAACTAGCCCGTTCTTGGAATTCGAACCTCGAACCGAACTACCAGTGCTCAGGGCCTTTACCGCTCAACAGCTGGTGGGCCCCCAAGGACCAGTAAAGGCCAGAAAATTAATATATAGCTAAATAAATAAACAAAAATAAAATGTAAATTAAACATGGTAGAGATTTTTTAATAGTCTAATTACTCTGTACATTGCTTTCTACATGAAAAACCAGATAAATATTTCTATTAACCCCTTAAGGACCAGCGTCGGGAGAACGAAGCGCAGTTACGGCACCGGATCCGCTGAAATGGATCGTCGCCACCGGCCCGTGCATTTTCAGCAGCTAGGCCTAATTTTACAAAAGAAAAATCGTATAAAATCAGCATTTTGATATTATGACTTTAATTTTTAGAGTTGCGTATTTAATATACTTGTTTTCAATGTGTATTAATATAAAGAATATCACATTAATAGAAATAAATTAAACAGGCAAAATACTAAAATCATTACTATACGCATAGAAATAAGTACTATAAACATGAAAACAAAAATTACAAATAAGAAATTAAAAAAAAAAAAAAAAAAAGTAAAAAAGAATTACCTGTAGGTAAATCAATTGTAATTTAAAAATTCTGCTGTGTGTGAAATAATTCAAAACAAGGATCGACACACAGTCCTACGTTGCATATTTCGCACTCAAAATACGTTGTTTGGTTTCGCTTTTCCTTGGTTTTAGCGCACGCAACGCATCTTCTCCTACTTTTATTACCTTTTTCGTCAACGTAAATTTTCGGAAACTATCTTTCAGTTATACGGAAAGGTATAGTGTCCGGTGATTTTGGACAAATTTTTAAGTTTTTAAGTAAGGTCTCTTCGCCATGGCTAACGGAATGAAACTGAATATAACCCCAAGACATGTCCCAAAACTTCTTCAAAAGACACTCAGAAATATCCCCAAACCCTGTGTGATATCAGGTTTATATTAGAAAACTTTCTGTTTTTCTAAATCGAAAACAGCGTCCACGATGACCGGAAAGTGATCAAGGAAAGACCCCCACTGGCGGGATATCCATTACTGATCACGTCAATCTATACATTATATGTAAAGTAAATTATATACCAAAATAAATTATATACCAAAATAAATTATATACCAAAATATAACGCCTGTAGCCATTATATATATCGACCATTTGGAACATTATATATAATGACCTATTAAATCGAGTAAGAAAAACAAAAACGCTGGCTCTTTCCTGAGCAATGTGAGCAAGAAATGTTACGCGTCGAGAAAGCTGATAGTCTTTCCCCTTCTGTAATAATGCTGTAATGTAATTTTTTAATTAACCAAGAAAGCGTATGTTAAGTTTCAAAATAAACAGAAAAACAAAACAAAAAACAAAAAATCCTAACAAAATAAATAATTAAAAAAAAAAAAACTCCCGTGCTCCTTTAATTCACAGTCCCACTTATAGAGAACGTGATTTCCAGTTTGTTTATTTCAATAAATCTCTCAAAACCAAAAGCACAAAACAAAATCTAATGCCAGTACATGAAGGTAAAATGCCGCATGAATCAAACTATGTGAAAATAATTACCACTTAGCTCCCTTTAGTGGCTTTTAAAAATTCAAATAAATCGTTCGTTTTACTGTCGCGTATGCGCGGCGCTGGGCTCGTAAAAGCAGAATCGTTGCGTCGCATATACGGGACGCTGGGCTGGTAGGAGTGGAATCGTTGCGTCGCGTATACGCGACGCTGGTCCTGAGTTAAGAGAATCGAAGGCAATAGCCGTGAGGAGCTTTCTAAAGCAAGCGAACTGGCCGATTAAGCGTTAGTTAAATAAAAACTTTTGTCACAAAGCATATTAAAATATAAAAATATTTGTGGTAACACAAACTTTCTGGTTACTAGTTCCTGAAGCAACTATATTATGAAGTTAGCTGTAAAACGTTGGAGGTAATTGCTTTTAAACGAAATAAGTTATCTCAATTCTTGCAACAGTAACGCATTCGAAGGTCTTAAGGTTTTTATGGTGTACAAGCCCCCTTAAAAGAGATGATTCTGATGAAGAGGGACTTTATTTGCCCTCGAAACTGATAGGGTACAACAAGTTGTTTGCTTCACTTTAATGATTTATTTGAGGCATGTTTATCTTCTGTTTTTATTATGAAAATGTTCTCGTCCCCAATTTGTCAGACAATGTGCTGTAACGAAAGCTTTAAGTGTGAGGCGAGTCCACGCGAAAACGACGGAGACGCCGGTCATATCTCCGGCGAGAGGAGGCCAAATTCACTCCTCGTGTATCCTTGCGCGCGTCTTTGCCTGATGACAGACAGGTTTGGCTCCGCCGCATTAACCCACTTTCTGTTACACAATGACGGCATCAGAACTCGCTTTCTTCGAGACGCGAGTTTTCTTTTAACTTTCTTCCTCACAAGGCTTCATTTTTTTATCTTCTCTTTTCTTTTCTTTCAGGCCGGGCTGGATCTTCCCGTCGAAGTGAAAGGAGGCTGCATCGGTGAGTATCGATCGGTACTTCTCGAAATGGAACCGTTTTGCCAGTTCTTCCTCAATCAGTTTTACTTTTTCTTCTTTTCTTTTTTACCTTTCTCCTTTTTTTACTTTTGCATCTTTTTTTAACCTTTCTTCTTTTTTTTTTCTTTTTGTCACATTTCTTCTGTTTTTACTTTTTCTTCTTTTTTTTTTGCCTTTTTACTTTTTCTTCTTTTATTTTTGCCTTTCTTCTTTTTACTTTTTCTTCTTTTTTACCTTTCTTTTTTACTTCTTTTCTTTTAACCTTTTTTCTTTTTTACTTTTTCTTCCTTTTTAACATTTCTTCTTTTTTACTTTTCTTCCTTTCTTTTTTACCTACTTTTAAAGCCTTCTACCATTTTACATTTTCTTCTTTTTTACCTTTTTACTTTTCTTCTTTTTGTAACCTTTCTTATTTTTACTTTTAATTCTTTTTTAACCTTTTTTCTTTTTTGCTTCTTCTTTTTACCTTTCTTCTTTCTACTTTTTCTTCTTTTTTAACCTTTATTCTTTATTTTGCATTTTCTTTTTTTACCTTTTTTCCTTTTTTTCTTACCTTTATTCTTTTATTACTTTGTCTTGTTTTTTTTTTTTTAATGCAGATATTACAAAAGATTCATTCATTGAGATAAATTCGATTTCTCTTTAAATTGGTGAGATATCGCCAAGTTCGTGATTGTTTAATGACTAATTTTTGTCGCCAAACTTGGCGAGTCTCAGTGTTTGACATTTTGATCCGCTCCCTGTATAACAGTAATTGTAAAACAGTAGTTGTTCCTTATGCAGGGTGTATCAGTACAGCGGTGACAAACTTTCAGGAGAGATAGAATACACCTAGACAATGGGAAATCACATGTCAATGCATGGTCGGAAACGCTTTCCTGGTACGGTAGTGGCGACACAAAAGTCAAGAAAAAAGTACACGAACGGGGTGAGATAACATGTTTGTATTTCAGAGTACAATTGGTAGAGAAAGCAAGTACAAGAGTAGAAAAAGCAACACAAAGAGACAACGATCATCAACAAAGGTAGTGTTCGAAATTACAATTCGGACCGTGATGCAGAAACCGTGCGTCATGCATCATCCATGGGATCTTCTATTCCTGATGCAGATCTTCCATGCACCAGTAAAGTGAAGCCTCCATCACGGCCCGGAGTCGTAATTTCGAACATCTTCTTTAATTACGATCGTTGTTTGTTTTTGTTCTTATCTGTAAGCTTCGGCTGTACAAAACATAATAAAAAATGCTTAGTCTCAGTGTTTGTGTCTTCCTTTTTTGCGTTTTGTGTCGTCATTACCGCTCCAGCAAAGCGTTTCCGACCATGCATTGCTATGTGATTTTCCATCGTCTAGGTGTATTCTATCTCTCTTGAACGTTTTTCACCGCCGTGCTGATACACCCTGTATGCATAACCGCATCCGGTACTTGCTTCGGCAGCACATATACTAAATTAGAACCACATTTGGTCCTTATACGCATCAGTACTACTGTTCCTTCTAATTTCCTTCGGAAACATCTAATAATCCTGAATGGGAATAGGGACCTTGCTCAAGCTATACATAATGCACAACATTTTAAAAATAATTCGCAAATCTGATGAAGCTATTAAGTAAACGTTTTATCGAATATATAAAATACTAAAATTTAGAATATAAACATGAATTAGTTTATAAAATTAATTCATCAGTACCTGTTTCCTTGTTACCTTCGGGTTTGGTCAATTAGCAACGAAGGCCAAAAAGAAAGAAACATATTTAGTATTTCCTTATAAAAATTTGAAACTGATGACTGAAATTATTTCGAGGGTACTGTAAGAATATCTTTCTCTTATAGACCAAAATAAATGTGCTGGTAAAAATATGGAGAACTGAATTTTCTTTCAACAAATTCGGAAGTAAAGAAGTCTTAGAAGGAGTTTCTAAGTGATATTAATTCAGATTACTAATTGCAAAATAGTACTTCTTTATAAAAGGATGTCGTTTTTAAAATTTTTATTCTAACTGGGAAATAACATACCATCGTTTAAAAAAAGTGGAAAAATATGAAATTTCGTTAACACAGTCATTCGCTTGACATCCTTTGGATAAATAATATTCATAGAAATATAATAATAAATATGAATATTCTTTGAAACTTGGGAAATATTTAGCATGTTTTTGGCAAATCATTTCATGAGAAACTATATTTCGGGTTCTGAGAATAACATGCATATATACCTACATAAATGGCTTAATTACTTTTAAAGCAAAAATATAATAGAACTCCAATTATCTGGACTCCAAATATCTTTAACTCCAAGTATCCGGAACTAGATATCAAAATCGCTTGTTCTTCCTAGACTCTATTACTGTTGATTCAGCTGCATGCTTTTAATTTTTTATCAATTAAATTAATATAAAAATAATACAGCACAGTCTAAGATGCTTTTCAAATGATTTTAAATAATGAGCTTACTATGTATATTCATATAAAATAAACAGCAATATGTAGTATAGTAGTGTATGTTTGGAATGGACAATACAAGTAAGAAGGGTTAAGTTCCACGAATTACAGGTGCTCCCACGCTTCGGAATACAGAGACCAAACACTTGTGCTCTGAGTAGACTGTTCTCAGTAGAACTGAGTAGACTGTTCTGAGTAGAACATCTACGTTTTTGTGCAAAGATCCTTTGCGATGAATGACCTTAAAATTATAAGGTTGTAATGAGAGTGCCCAGCGCATCAATCTAGAGCTACATTTGGCGTTGGATTGTAGCCAGACCAAAGGGGTATGATCAGTTTGAATCAAGAATTGTTGTTGACCATCCAGATAAAAATGCAGTTTCTTGATAGCATAGATGATGGCAGCTCACTCTTTTCAGCAGTACAATAATTCTTTTCGAATTTAGTAAATTTTTGCTTATATACAAAGAAGAATGTTCATGTTGTTCATCATCTAATTGGCATAGTACTATACCCATGCCATTGTCTGAGGCATAGGTTTGTATAATAAGCCTTTTCGAGTAGAATTAAGTACACTGGTGTGAAAAACTTAAGCAACAAGTGTTCTTTTTGCGATAACTCCACGAGAAATCATCTGAGAGACATGAAATTCAGAAATGAGAGACAGGCATTTGTATTTAAACGATAACGTACGCATAGTTGCGCAAAAATGAATACAATGCATACAGTATAAAATCAAACATAAAAAAGCTTTATCTACCTCGTAGTATCGTTACACGTGATTGTCTGTACAAGAGGAAGAACAACAAGCAGATGTTTCTTACTGTGAGATATGCCCTTCTCTTACTGCAATGGTTGCTTCGCACCGTCTCTCCATACTCAGCACTAGATTGCCTAACAGATCTTGAGGTAAGAGTGCTAATTCCTCAATCAGCATCTGTTTCAGTTGTTGGGTGTTCCCCAGAGAATGTAATCGTGCCACAGGGTGATTTCACAAAACATTCCGCACATATTCTCTGGGATTTTAATCAGGAGAGTACCCTGGCCAATCCATTTGAGTGATATCTTTACGTTCCAGTATCTTCTGAACAGCAGGAGTTCAGTGTATCCGTGCATTCTCTTTCATAAAGAAGAAGTCTGCTCTAATGGCACCTCGAACAGACGCATATGGGGAAGGATCACCTCCTGACAATAACGATCTCCGGTTACAGAACCTCTGTCGAAAACGTGGAGCTCTTTCCGTCCGTTCAGCATGATGCCTCCCCAGACGAGAACTCCAGGACCACCGTAACGGTTTCTTTCCGCGATGTTACTGGGATGAAACCATGTCCCGACCTTTCTTCAAATCAATTGGCGTTGAGAATCGCTTGTAGAGCTAAAACAACTCTCATTCGTAAAGAGGACACGACTCCATTGATGAGATATCCAGTTTTTGTGCTCCTTGCTCCACTCTAAACGATGGCCATCTTTTAAAGGGATGCAGCGTTTAGGACGGCGGTCGAATAGGCCATCTTTGTGAAAACGTCTGGACACAGTAAACCGCGATATATATCGCCTCGTTGCTGTACACAGTTGCTGAGCTATGGCGCTTGCTGACTGGTTTCGGGCTCTTTTCACGTGCAGGACGATATATTGGTCATCCACAGCAGTTGTTTTCCTGGGGCGGCCACCACTAACTATTCTAATAGCTGTACCTATGGTTTGGAAGGCTTTCCGAGTGCGCAAAACGACACTTTTGTTGATTCCGAACTCTTCAGCTACACTGGTCACACTGCCCCCCTCCTCCAGTTTTCCAATTATTCTTCGACGTGTGAAGTCATCCAGGTGATTTCCTTTCGCCATACTTCACGAAAGAACTTACACTTGCAGCGAATATCTTTGCGTCTCCGTCGTTCCTTTTATTGTAGTCTTGAGTTGAGCGCGCCGATCGCACGCGTTTTGCGTACGCTCAACGTGGCCTGTGACGTATGCATACGCATGACCTTTCTACTGAATTGTGTGTCCATTGTACTGATCGCAAGATACTCTTTTCTGCAATTTCATGGCTACCTGATAAAAATTTACATTGTTGCTTAAGTTTCGCACACCAGTGTAATATAATATTTCTTAGTGTATGTAATCAAGTTCAAAATTTATTTTATTCTTTAATGTATGCTCAATTGACGTGTACTTTAAAGTTCTACATTTTCTTTCTATTTAAATGTGGTGTAAACGTATTTGTTGAAAACTTAAAATTTTGGTTTAAAGTTTGGAACTTATGGGAGAAATTACCTCCTCTTAAAATGATTGAGAAGGCGGAGCACATAAGCTTTCGAATTTTACAGAACTTTTCCCTTCGGAAAAAGTTGCTTCGTTGGGGAAGAGGTTGTAACAGCTTTAATATCGTTATTTATCTCTCGTGCATTTGAAATAGATGAATAATAAATAATGTACAGGTTACTGGCAATATTGAAACGCAGGGCTCGAGAGCCGTATGCATTTTCTCGCAAGAAGCAGTTTATTATTTTTTTTTTTTAAAAATAAGTTTGCATATTTTTTCTTC